TAGATTGTTCTCAGCATTTTGCCTTTCCTCATTTTGCCTTTCTTTCAAGACATTTTCATTTTTTTTACTATTTTCAATTATTTCTAAGTGTTTTTTCTATAAAAAGAATGCACATGAGATCAAGAAGCTGCCACTCTGGGAATAGTACCCGGTCATGCGTTCTTGTCTAGACATGAAATTGGTTTTATAATCGCTTTTTTTTGAATTTCGGCTTCATTGCATGTCCGGTCCACTACCTAAATAGTGGGATGTGTAAGTGTTCCGGTTATCCTGCAACATTTTTTATTGAATAATACAGTTATTATAAACAGTTAAAAGTGAAATGTCTAGAAAGAAATAGCAAAAAAACATAGGTTATAGGGAGCCCAAGCTCGCCGGGAGGGTGAATGACCAGTGCCTTAATAATGCTATGAAAGTCCAAAAGGCGGAAAGTTTTTTCTTATGTATGCAAATGGTCAAAGGTTAAATAAGGTAGGCTGTTCAAAGGTTAGTCTGAGGGTATAATTGTATGAAATAATAAAAGATGATAAATTATTACGAAATATAGCAATTGTTAATATCAAGCAAAAAGCGATTAATTACTGCATGACAACAGCAACGGCATAAAGTTAAGACTGATTTTATTATTTGAAAGCTAAAAAAGTTGCAAGCTGTGAGTTTCAATAAATTCGAATTAATCGCACAGTTCCGAAAGATTAACCTTATGTTTTCGTATCTTCAAGTATACGTCTGAGTCTGCTCATATGTATCCGACTTTTTTTAACAAATACACGGGTAATTTCTCCACGAAAAAGAACTTCTGTCCGTTTTTTTTGCATAGTTTCCTGAAATCCAGGCTTCTAAGTGATTTATAGGGCCAAAACAATCTCTGCGGAATGCGAAGAACCGGCACTGCAGGACAAAGTGATCCATTCGGCAACGCAGTGCGCTTTTGCCACCTCGCAACTGGTGGCCTGTGCTCGAGTGGTAGCTCCAACAATCGAGTCACCGGCCTGTCAAGAACAGCTAACTGCTGCTGCAAAACAGGTCGCTCGGGCGGTCGAGGATTTGTTGGTGGATGCACAAGCGGCGTGCAAGCGAAGTATCACCGATGGCCAGCGATCTTACGGTGATATCCATGAAGCCGCTCGGCAGGTAGCCCTGCTCTTCTTACGTCACTTAGTCAACTCTCATAAAGAAGTTTTTTTTTAAGTTTCGAATTTAGTATGATTGAGGATTTATCGATTTTATTATCTGTACTTATTTATAATCACTCAGGTTAAGAATGAGTAGTTTTTCTTGGGAAAACAACCGTACTTTTTTATGTAATCCTCACTATTTTTCAAATCGTTTTCGATATTCTTTTGAAAAAAATTTAGTAAAAAAATCATGTGAATTTTTGTCCTTTTTTTGTGGAACTTTTGCAACATCATGCTATTAAGTTTATGCTGTTTTAGGTCACCACGGCACTTGATGAATTGCTGCTGCACGTAAAAACATCACCAAGGATAATTCGCACAACACAAGAAAATTATGAGTATGAACAGATTTTGAATCAGTCCAGAAAGATTATCACTTACCAGGTTTGTGTTTTTTAAAATTGGATATTTTTTTGATACCAGTAGGCATGCGCATAATTTTTTATGAAATCGCTATGTAATTGCTTTTTTTGTTTCGCATATACGACTTAATCGCATGATCTTTGATTTTCACTCCCTCATCCTGTCACGCTAAAATAGTGATGCGCGGCATGAAACTTCAAAATTAGAGTGAAATCTCTTCGTCCTAAATCTTTTTTAAATATCGTTTTGAGGAGTAGCAGTTGAGCATTTTAGCAAAATTTTTAGGAACTCCTAGCTAGATGGGTTTTGAAAGATTGCTTCGAATATCGAAATTTTTTTAACTTTTCGTAAATTTCTTCCAGCAATTTTCCAAAATAAACACAATGCGAGCTTTAGGGACCGACAGAAGATATGGTTCGACAGGGTGAAAGCGCAATACGTCACAGTCGTCTTCTTGTTGAGCAGATGGAAGCGGAAGCGGATCGTGCTCCGGAACGTCGTGATCGTTTGCTGGATGCTGCGCGTTCGGTAGCCCAGGCAACCAGTCGTATGATTGATGCTACTAAGGTAAATGCAATGTTTTTCCGGAAAACTTATAAAGCCATTAGTATTTACTTCGATCAAGCAGCTGTTAATGATTTTACAAGTTTGACAAAATTTTGGAGCGAGTTTATTATTTGTGCACATCGATTCAAGCAAACTGAAAGCTTTGGTGCCCAAACTGTGCTGCTTCTCTCCTTTTTTTCGTCGTCAATACGGCTGGTAACGTTTTATCCGCATAATTCCGCATGGGCTTAAAAATAAATTCTTTTTCTCCCCCTCTCACATGGTTACTACTCA